CGAAAAGGCCGGGCGGTTGCCCGGGCGGCGGGGGCAAGGGAAATGGCCCCTGCCGCTAAGCCGGCAAACGAGCTGGCAGCGCCCGCTAAAACAGGCAACGAATTGGCAGATAGGGCAGAGAACCAGGCAGCTGCGCAGGCAGCGGCCGAGGCAGTGGAGCAGCCGGTGGCTGGGCTGGAGAGCGGGGCTGTGGCGGAGCAGCTGGCGGCTGCGCCAGCGGCCGGGGCGGGGGGGGGGGCGGGGGCGGGGGGGGGGGGCCGGCGGGGGGGGCTGGGGGCAGATGCTGTGGCGGAGCAGCCGGTGGCTGAGCCGATGGAGTGACATCGCCGTGTTTGCGCTTGATTAAAAGTGGGTGAGACTAGAGACTTTCTTCTAACTTTCCGACCCGTCGCTGGCTGCAGTTGCTGCCCACGCGATTCCACTGCCCAGCCGGGAGGGTTTGGGTTTGTCTGAAGCAGGGGAAAGCTATGTATTTTTATGGCCATTAAACTAGCGAGCTTCCCAGATCAACCTGCACAGCCCCCTGCAGAGAGTTCACGTGCTTACGTGAGGGCGCCGAAGCCTTAGAATTATGCTTTGATTTCAGGGACGCGCTGCTGCTGTCAGGTCCCCATTTCATTTTTAAGGAACAAAATGTCTTATTTTTTGAATGCCCCACGTTGACTTGGACGCGGCTGTGTTTGCAGCGGACACAGCTGAGGGATGGGGCTGACGGTCAAGCACCTCTGCCAGCGTCGGTGGAAGGGCTCCCCTCTGCTGGCGGCGGTGCGGCCGGGCTCCCGCTCGGGGTGCCAGCGCAACGGGGTGGTGTGCCGTGAATTCCCTCTGGGGCGTGGGGGAGTGCTCGTGTGGGTTTCTACCTGGAGATCTGTGGGAGCAGGAAAGTGGAATAAATGGCTTTGCTGAACGCTTCGCAGTCGGGATTGTTCTTGACTGCCGGCACAGAGCCTGCGGCGACCCAGAGCTTTGGGGGTGCAGGGGCTGGGGGAGCGCAGCGCCTGTCGGTTCCCTCTGCCTCAGGGCTTCGCCCCCTGCTCCTTGCTGGACTTGTGCCAGGGCGAGAAGCTGGAGGTGCAGGGGAAGCGCAGGGCCCAGAGCTGCTGGGGGAAGCTGGGGCAGAGGGGGCTGGCAGGGTGCCGCACCGCTGCAAACCGGTCGTTAGGCTTTTGCTGCTGGGTTACTCCAAAATGGCTTGTGCACCCAAGGGCTTCAAGCAGGGGCCTGGGGAGAAGCCGGCTGCGCCGTTGCAGGTGCCAGAGCACCTCCCGGGCACTGGCTGTGCGTGGGGGGTGTTTGTCCTGTCCATAACGCAGCCGCTGCTGGGGCAGCCAGCGAGGAGCCCGGCTGCACTGAGGCTGCACTGAGGCTGTGCAGCCGCAGCTGTGCGAGGCTGCGGTCTCTGTGGGGGGAGGCATTTCAACTGCGCCTTCGTAAAATCCTCCACCCATCCAGCAGCCCCATTGCAACACGGGAGGCTCTGCGCTGGAGGAGCTGCTCCCCCCTGCTCCAGCCTCTGGCCCTGCCCTGTCCCCCCCCCCCCGCCCGCCGGGCCCTGGCCTGGGGCAGCAGCAGCTCCCAGCCGGAGCCGGCCCCAGCCCCGGTGAAGAGGGCCTGCGGTCGCCCTGCATCGCGGCAGAGCGCAAGGTCAGGTGAAGGTGTTCGAGCAGCCGACCAGAGGCAGGCTCCTGCGCAGAGTGACAAACGACTCAGAAAAGAGGTTTGGTTTAATTGAAGATGTTTAGAGAGAGGCTGATGGTGGCAGCACAATGCTCTTCAATAAATAACGGGCTGTGAGGCAGGGACGTGGCTGACACCTCAGGATGGGGTGGCAGGAGGACACACAGACCAGTCACAGCTCCCCTCGGGATGTGCTCAAAAGTGCTGCGGTGGTGGAGTTGGGTTGTGTAACGGGCAGGATCGAAAGTGGGGGGAACATCAGTCCCAGGCATTCGGGAGAGAAAGAGAGATTCAGTCTGGTCCAGAGAAAGCAAGTGCCGAGGAAAACCAGGGGCCTGAGTTGCTAAAGAAACTCGTATAAACCAATAGACGTGTTTAAGTAAAAAATGGCTAAGAAAAAAACCAAACCCCCCCAAAATGGTAACACAAATGAGGCTGGAAGGGTGCTTCAGGTCTCTCCTGGGAAAGCACTGGGGCTAGGAGGGATGGCAGCAGTTCCTGCCACTCCCCTGCCAGTGGGGGCCAGCCAGGCTGTGGGAGGAGCACTGGGGACAACGGGGACAGCCAAAGCCTCCCCACCAGCACCTCGGCAAAGCCAAGGCAACACCTGCTCCCCATGGGCAGCGCTGCAGGCACAGCTGCTTGGCGGCAAGGCCGGGCAGGGGAGCATGGCCAGGGCACCCGCTGAGCCGGCTTGGCCGGGCTGCAGGCTGCCGAGCACCCTGGTGAGGCAGGTCCAAAGGAGCGGGCTCCACAGCACGGGAGAGGGACACGCAGGGAGCCCCCCCCCCCCCCCCCCCCGCCACGCTCCAGACTGTCGCCGCACTGGCTCAGCCGAGCCGTTGGCTGCACAGACCTGCCCCGTTCTTCTGCAAACGGCTCCACCACATCACTCACAGGCAGGAGCACGCAGCCCCACAGAGGGACACTTCGGTGACAGTGGGCTGCAAACCCATCACGCTGTCTCAGTGCCGCGGGTGGGAGAGCTCCTCTTTCACCCCGTGGCCCAGCTGAAACCCCCCAAGAGAGGCACCTTGGCCAAAGCTGCGCACACCAGCCCCAGCGGAGCCTGCAGCTCCCTGCCCCATCGCGTGTCGTCTGCCCCAGCACTGTGTCCCTTAAGCCTTAGCCTGCCTGCCGCACGCAGGGCAGGGGCCACAACTTTGCAGCCAGCCCAGCTGCCTGCACAGTGCCGCTTGCGCTGCCAAACTGAAGGGGAACCAGAGGTGTACGGGTTGGAAGGAGCCTCTGGCGTGCTCTGCTCCAACAGCCTCAGAGCAAGGCCAGCACCGAGGGCAGCCCTGGCTTCTTGGGTCTTGAATGTCTCCAAGGACGGGTTCTCCAATGGCTCCGTGCTCAACTGTCCTCATGGAGACACTTTTTTTTTTTCCCCCCTTCTGTCAGTCATTGCGCTAGACCTCTTTCTTTGAGCCCCGGAAGCGGGACCAGCACCTCCCAGCAAAACAGCCCGCTGCTGCTCCAAAACACGCTCTGTGCCGGCCCCCCGGGGCTGGATCAAGCTGCTTCCTGCAGTCCGGGCTGCAGGGCCGGCCACGGCCACGGGGGAAGCTGCGCTCACCGGGGCTTTCTGTGCCAGAGCCACCTCTGAGCCGAGCAGCAGCACACAGTGCCAGCCCCATGGCGGCCGTGGGGAGCTAGTCCCAGCCACCCTTCTCGGGCAGCAGCACGGTACCACGCACAGCAAGCTCGCCTTCCTGCACCCTTTTATTAATTTACTCCCACCTCTGGGGTTTAGACATGGAAATGACTTCTTTGTACGGTCATCCAGGCTGCAAGATCTCAACGTGCTTCCTTTCTCTTCTAAAAGTCTAAGCCTGACCTGTACTGTGTCTCACCCCCACACCCTGCCCACACCCGCTGCCAGAGCTGGCACTGCCTGCACGTACAGGCGATGCACCAGCTGCGGCTTAGACCTCCTTTGCTCAAGTCCCAGTTTCAAAATGAGAGGGGAACGAGGAACATGGCGCTGAGCAGGGGAAGAGTGATTTGCAACGGGACCCCAGCAGGGCGCAGGGATACCCGCACCTCTGACACGTGCCTGGGCTGGGTGAGCTGCAGCGACTCCCACCTTAAAAGCGAAGTGCTCGCCCAACCTCGCTCCGAGGCACAGGAAAGGTGCCCGGCCTGGCTGTGGCACACTGGGGCCTCCATGCAGGCTGGACGCTAACTGCCGGTGAGCTGAGACACAGCCCCAGGCTGGCACAGCCACGGGGGTCCTGCAGCCGGGCCAGGAGTCTCCCGGACAGCCGCAGGGAGACTGTCCACCAGCACGGCCCTGTGGTGATGCCCAGACTGTGGCCTGAAGCACGCCAGTGAGCAGCCGGGGGAGCTTTTCGTCAGCAAGGAAAAGCTGCTGTGATCTGTGCACAGGGCTCATCCCCAACGATCCTGCAAGAGTCCGGCCCTGGTGCCACGGGAGGGTGCACGCAGGAGAGGAGAAGGGCTCTGGACCGAACTCTGCAGGGCTCTGGCTGCAGCAGCGGCTCTACACCCCCAGCTCCCCTCCCCTGCTACATTCCAACTTGGACAAAGGCAGAAAGATCTATACAGTATAATATATATATTTCACTATGAAATAGCAATTTCATTCCCTGCCTTCTACTTGATGCATCCTGAATTAAATGCTTCTTTTTAAGTCACTCCAGAGGGCCGGTGGGGCTGGGTAGTTTCTCATGCAAGGCAGTTACCCTCCCTGGAAGTTACCCACAGGAAGCACCGGCGGCAGCAGCTGACTTGGCAGGACCCAGACACGATCCTCGCTCCCCATTTCCCCTCACCCAGCTCCCCCTTCCCCGGCAACAAGTGCACGACTGTATATTCTGCCAGCAGCGGCCTGCCAGGGCGCTTACGGCTCATTTACATGGTCAGTCAGTGCAGACTCATTAACCTCGTTAACTGAACCCCTCTACATCACGTATACGAATAGGAGCAAACCAGAGGCAAGGGAAGTGGCGGGGACAGTGCAACATGCACACAGACTGGTGACGCAAAGGGCCCTCAGCTACGGCACAGCCAGATGCCTCGTGCGACAGCCAGGCCTGCCCAGGCAGCGCTCGCAGGCTCCAGGCCACGGGGGTAAGTCAGGGCTGCAGCCCGTCAAGTGTGAAGTCTGCCAAATCTCGGTCAACCTGTGGAACAAGGAGTCCCGTCCAGGGGCTGGGTCACTGACCAAGAGCCGTCATCACTGGAATCAGTGCAGAGCCGGATGGTTCAGGAGATGAAAGGAAAAACAATCCTACGGAAAGACAAAGAGGGCAGCTCTCTTAGGGAAACCAGGTGTTGCGGGTCTCTTCAAGCGTACTGAGGAGCCGCTGTCCTGAAGACCTTGTCGTCAGACCTGCAACGCAACTGGCAGCAAACGGGCTGTCAGTTACTGTGCTGGGACACTGAGCTGGGGAAAGAGCGAGGACTCGGTCACTCTGGGTCTAACAGAGCTGGGAAAAGGAGAGAGACAGCAGGGACAGGTTCAATCTGCTGTCAGGCTCTGGGCTCAAGTAAACGAGATCAGAGTTCAAATTCCCTTCAAATGAAACCAATAGGAGCTCGGCCACCAGCTGGAGATGGGAGCACAACGATGCCCCAGACACACGGTAGCTTGCCCAGCAGCAGAGCTGCAGCTTCGGCAGCCCTCGCTCGAGCACTGCCCTGAGACAGCGGCCGTGGGGCATCACCAGCGCGTCGCTGCTGGCCTTGGGCAGAGAAGGGAGCTTTCCCTAGGTACCTACCTTTGCTTTTTGTACACCTTCCGATCCAGTCACATCGTCCGGCTATATTCAATGCCGCTCTTGGCAGAAATGCCAGACCAGGGCAGAAGGCTGCAGAGAAGGCTCTGGGCTTGTCGATATATCCTCTGGGGAATTGAACACGGGCTCAGGCTGGCTAGCGTTGATCCAATGTGCTGTAGGTAGTCAGTGGCCATCAGTTAAGGACAGCGACATTTACACTGTAACTTAAGAAATAACTTAAAATACTCTGTGGACTAGCACTCCCTAAAGAGACCCCATGACACAGCGAAAGCTGCTCTGCTCAGTTAGACAGACAGATCTGCTCCTTGTATTAATTGCCTGCTCCTTTCTCTCAAAAGCAGGTCTGCTTTGCACCATAAAAGGCGGCAATTTGGGAACACTGGCTCCAACTTGTGTGGGGAATACCTCCTCTAAGCAGCTGCTAGTTCCCTTTGCACTCCACAGCAAGTTCCTGTGGGGATGGCAATCTAACCACCTGCCTGGAGAGGTTTGGACTGACTAGCTACACCTGGGAAAGATCAGGTTTCTTCTCCATGATCCAATGACCTGGAACAAACTCCCAAAGTCAGTTTGAGAGCAGCCTGCTGAGATCCAGGCCAGGCCAGAGTCACAGGGGATCCCAGGCCACAGGAAACAAGAACAAGGGCTTCTCTGCCATGTTGCTGGACAAATCCTGCACCACACAAGCCAGAGCACGCCTAGCACTCTGGCTTAACACCAACGTTTGCTATCACTGGCATCAAACTCCTCCCAACTTAGAATTCAATGTACCATCCTACACTGCCTCCCCAAACTGTTCCCAGAGGAGTCGGGGGAGCTTGGGCACAAGCAGGTCACTGTCAAATCCCTCTAACATCGCCTTCCTTCCAGCTTCAGATTAAACTCGCACCTGAGCAGGCATCAGTCCCCAGATCTAGCCAGGTCACACTTTGCTAGATTGCCATTTTTAACCTAACACATAGTGTGGCGTCCGCTTATTGTGTTCCCCTGCTAATCAGACTGAAGGTAAAGGATATAAGATTGTCCAGGGTGGATGTCCACCATTGATGTACAGGACGTAGGTAAAGCCATCTTTGAGGACCCCTCTGATGGAATAATAATAGGGAAGATAGTGGTGCTGTTTAAAGTCTCTGTTTTCATAGAAGTTTATTGCTGTATTGTTAGTGGTGAGGACGTGCAGGTAGATGGCTTTGCAGTGATCTTGGGCAGTCGTTGATATATGGTCTTTTAAACTTTCAAGCAAGAGCGAACCTGTTGAAGGGAAGAGCAGCAGAATCACAGAGTGCAGCTGCCTTCTCAGGGACAGCGCAAGCGTTCATAGGTCCCAGCTGAGATCTCCTGCACCCAGCGTCTAAGCAGGGATTGCTGCACATGCTTGAAGACCCCAGATCCCACCCAGTTCTCACAGACCCTCTTGATGAATTCAACAGGACCACGCTACGTGGTTTTAATACGAATCTCATCTTACCTATGAGCATGGCTTCACAAAACAGATTTTATAAAGACACAAACTTCTGATTCAGTAACCACAAAGATGAGCCAGACGTGGGAATCTGCCAGTAATGCCCATCCCCAGCCAAGCAGCTCTCAGCTTTGGGGAGGGTCAGTAAGTCATTGTCAGTGGTATCAGTTCCACCACATTTATTTATTTTAAAGCCATTTAAAACAGCAGAGAGTCCAAACAAGACTTCACAAGCAGGTTATTGCATTGCATCTGCTGAACTCGAATTAAAATCTAAGAACAGGTAGGATTTTAAGATCCCTTCTTAGGAGGAGAGCCAAGGCACAGTCTCACTCAACCTGGATTTTCTGCAGCCGCTAGTCAGCAGGAGAAACCAGAGAAGGGCACAGAGAATACTCCAGCCCCAAGAAACGAGACCTGGAGGTTCATCCAAACCACCTCAACTCAGCATGAAGGACCCAGCGGAACCTGCAGGGGAACTTCTTCCGTCAGGTGTGGTAACAACAGGCTACAGAAATAGCTTAGCTAACACAAACACACAGGTGAGATTTACGCTGCTGTTTCACAATCCCCAGACCACTTCACGGTCACTTGATACTTAGTAGGAATTTATATCAGCCAAGCACAAAAAGACACTGAGAGACATCAACAGGAGAGCAGTTTAGTTTCGTTATGAGATATTCCACTCTTCTATCTCACAGAAATCCAACTGCCTTCTGGTTTAAGAATAGCAGAGAAGTAGAAACCAAAGCCTTTTAATGTCTGCAAGAGAAAAATCAGAGCTTTGGTGCTTAAAAGTATGCCTGGGGTGAAAAGCCTCCTGCATGAAAGACTTCAGCTTCAAACACAAGTAGAAAAACTCTCAAGAGAAAGGTCTCAGAAAGAGCAGCAGCAGGCAGCAGCTTCTTTAGGTTGTTTTGCTATAGGTAGAAGTCCAAAGGTTTTGAGAGAGCACGGCAACATACTGTCTAGATGTAACGGATACAGGAAATACTGATGCTGAAAGGAGAAAATTCCAGCAAGACGGAGCTGAAAAAAACAGAATTTGGAAACAGAAAGGGGACTCTAAAGAGCCACAACTTCACAGAACAGAAGACCCCTTTACCACCTTCTCTGAACATTATTCTGCGCAAGTATTTTCTTCTTTGTAGAGAAAATTTATCTCCAGTAGCATTTCAATGCAAGTTTTAAATACAGTGCTCCCACTGAGGACTCTTCTGGTCATTTCTTTATGTATCCTATCAGTTTGTACCCTTTTAAACATGACTGGGGAGAAGGGAGGACTCAAGGAAGAGAAGTTATACCTGTACCCACTGAAGAGACTCTGGATGTAGAACACTGGGTCATGCTGCCAAACCTGGCCTATTTGCTTTCACAGATCAAAGATACAGATCATGCTTGAAATTGCACCAGAAGTGCACTTATTTGATGACAAAACATATCCTGCTCTAAACAGAGATAAGCCCTTCTGACTGCAGGATTTTCAAATGGCTGCAAAAATGCTGTGTGTTGCAGGAGGCATTCAGAGCTGACTTTTACATGCATTTGACAGATTTAATCAGGTCCAAGTTACACTCTTTTTCCAGTTCCCTTTGTCTTTTTCTAAATGTTTGTTCTATCTGTTGAAGTTGAAAGGTTAAAAGCAGCTATATTTTCTGCCTCAGGGAGCAGGCTTCTGATACCCATGAAAGAAAATCACTTCAAACCCTGCTCCAGGGTGAAGTCCTAGCGCTTCAGTCAGTCTCAGCAGCAGGAGTGCAAGTTTTTGGTGTGCTCAGCTGTCCCCTGGGAACAAGACGGACAAAGCCCCGTGCTCTTTGGAAACATTTGCGCATTGTTTTGTGCGTACATCAGTAAAAACATCTCAGTGCACTTGCATTAACACCAAGAAGGGGATGCGAGTGCATCACCTTCCCAACTGCTGGTACAAATCATCGTCAAGCTTGCGGTGAAATGGTGCAGCTCCTTCAGTCACGCCCGCTAGCCACATGTGGCAAACAACAGCAACAGAGTTGTCACTTAGCAGCATCTTACCTATTCCATGTTTTCTGAACTCCTTCACCACTCCAAGACTTAGGATGTAAGCAACTTGAGTGTCCACAGGAAAATTGGAAGCTAGGATGTCTCCATCCTGAGTAGAGATATCACAAGTTATTTAGTAGGATACCTGGGGAGGCACAGGAGAAGGCAAGAATCCCGTACTGGAACATCTGAAAACAAGGCTATAGCAGGAAACCTCTCTTCACTCAACAGTCTTAGCTGAAGCTTCTGGAAAGGAGGTGGGGAGTTAAAAAAACCAAGGGTGCTCCCTTAGGTGTTATTCCTACTTTTGTATCATCTTCCCAGATGCAGAACAAAAATCATGATGTTTCCTTACTGTATACATTACTTGTGGGCTTAGGGACAGAATATATTTGCATTCTTTACCAGGAAGGATTCAAAGTGCCAATTCTGGAGTTACACACCAGTGTAGCTGATCAATCTAGCAACAGTCTTTATTGCCTGCACGCTCCATCTGAGCTTCGTGTCAGCTGGAGATCTCTGTACTGCTGTAGAGGACAAGGAGCACGTTCTACGGGCTCAGTCGAACTACTGCCTGGAGCAGTGTCTGAATAAGCTCCTGGCTTTCAGCTTGGCTGGAACAAGAGCCTTTTGTTAGAGTTGCTGAAGATGCAGTTTCTGACTTGGACTAGCTCTGAGGAGAAGCCAGATAGCTAGAGTGAAGAGACCCATGCCACTCAATGCTCTCGGTTCCTACGAATGTTAAAATTATTGTTTAATCATAACACTGATGGCCTTTTAGAAGTTATGCACTCTCTGCACTGCCCCTGCTTTTTTTTGAATCCACTTGCCTATGCTGTTTGCCCTACACTAACCCGGTGGTCTTTTCCCATACTGTCTTCAGTGACCATCTCTTCTTCACCTCTCTGCTGTACTGTGTTGTCTCTCCTGGCCTCCAAGTTCTGTTATCCCTGAGGCCTGAGCTTTCTGCAGATTGGTTACCTCTGCTTTGTGTTCGAGACGGTGACCGTGTAAATGAAGGAGTTTCTGCAGGAAATCAGGAGTGACTTGCCCAGCACAGCTAAGGAAGTTCAACCCTTACGTAAGAAAGGAAGAGGTTCGTTCTCCCACAGCTGCGCATACCTCAGTCACCAGCGATGACCAGGCACACTGAAAACAGCCAGGGAACAGTTAAATGGCCTGCCACACAGTCACTTTTGGATTACGATCTGATTTCTCCACACAGCACATCAGGCAGCAAGCTTCCCACCGGGCCACAGCTGCCTAGCCCCAGCAGGAAAAGACTTTGTGGTACCAGGCTGCTCAGCAGCCCACGTGTTCAGATACATCCCACCACCCATGCTCCATTAGCTGGAAATGGGCACGTTCTTGGTTTCTTAAATTAACTCAGGATCACTCTTATAAGTGTCTGGATGGAGGGGGGGGGGGAAATACCCCGAACAGGTCCCGTAGCAGTTAACCATGGCAAGAGGTGGACTATCTCATACTGAAGCACAGTTTAGTAGCATACCTCTTTATGCACCTTTGTTCTGCTCTTGATCTCTGCCACTATCATTCCCACGATGGAGCCCCTATATGTGGCTGCGAGGGAAAAGAACTTCTTGTTGGAAGTGATATCTCGGTACCATGAGTCAGGGTACCTGGGAAGGAAGAAAAAACAGGCATGTTTGGGGACACAAAGCCCACGGGAGCAGGCAGCGCCACAGCAAACATTGTGCCGAGATGCTGCTCAACTGGAAATGGGCAGCAACATCTTTCAATGCCAGTCACTGGAACCACAGGCCAATGTATTTTACACAAGACTAAGGGAGGGAAGCTGTACTACTGGAAGGGCTGTCTTCTGCAAAGGCATACAGCCAAGTAGCTCAGCCATATGTCAATCTAAAGCTCTTTCTGTGCTACTAATTTAGCTTATTCCATGAAATCTGGGTTAGGAAGTTTTTCACCTTTCCTGCCTTAGCTGTTGTATGGTACCAACGAACATCGAACAGCTGCTGTACCCCATTTGGTAGCATGGTTTCTGTCAGTTGCACCTAAGCAGCAATGCAGGCTGCTCATGTAATGGCCTCCTGCCTTGCTAAGACAACCACATTTTCATTTTACATTCATTGCCCAGAGCTTTCACTTCCATCTTTAGCAAGTTATTTTTAAATGCAATATCCATCTGCCCTCATCTAAGAGCATAAGGATCTCATTAATTTGATACACATGTGAAAAAAATACTGCATATTGGTACAAAAAAAATCGCATGATCAGCCTCCAGCTCTCCTCCTCCTTCTGCAGCTACTAAAAGAAAACTAGCGTATGCTAATTTATTTCAAAGTGAGAGTTCAGCATGCCTTGTGTTTAAAAGAAATCTACAAATTCAAAATATTATGAATGCTTTTGCTGGTTTGTTACATTTTATGCAATCTTAATTATAATCCGCTAAAATCCTCTATAAACCTTCTCAACAAAGCTAAAGAAAAAAAAATCCTTGACGTCTACAGCTGTAGTTTCCCTGGATGCCTTAAGCCAGAAAGCTATTGCTGTCCCCCAGAAAAGCTCCTTTTTGCTGTGCTTGTGCAGACACAAGCATTTACCAAATGGGGGCCTGGGGAACTGACCTGGGACAGAGCGAGATCAGCTTTAAGCCAGATCTTTGCCAGAGGTTTGGGAGCAACGGTGATCCTGAGTACACAGGCAAGAACTGTTCAGTCTCCCCCTGGGACATTCAGAAAGACAGTCCCTTAGGAACAGTTGCTCCGTGTTGGTTTGGTTTAACTCTGAGGGCGCTTTCTCGGCACACACTCCAGAATACAACTTTCTTTCACAAGCACAGGGATGCTGTTCTTCTTCCTAGAGGCGTGCTCCTTTCCCCATCTCTCACACAGTCCTTCCCAAGAAGCTGGTCCACCTCCTTAATTACAGAGCCCATTTTTCTGCCAAAATCTGCATACAGGAACTTTCTGATGACTTTAGGACCCTGCAGGACAGGCAGCAAAGGGCCATTAACAGGAACACCACCAGAATGCATAAAAGATTCAGAACCTGCTGCTATCTTAGCAACAGTCCAGATGGCTGCAGAGCCTTTGGTGTCAGCTCTGAACTGGACCAGTGCAGGTTCACGCCATTTGTTTCTAGATCCCCGCCATCTCACACCCCAAACCGGTAACGTACTCTATTGGGAACCAGTCACCACAGAGCTGTTTCACTGTGTCTATGTCATCGTGGCAGAGAAGACGCAGGTTTACGTCTGTAAGTGCAGTCGGGGGCACCTCCTCTGTCATTCACGCCTGCAAGAGAAGAAAGCACATTAAGAATGGTGAAGCACAGATTCTGACTCCCAGCTTCAAGTCAGGCAGCTGCGCAAAGGCAGCAGGAGGTTCTCAGTATCAATAAAGTTGTTTTTCCTAGCAGAACGAGTTTTCAAGAGAGATGAAGCAAAACGTGGCAACATTAACCCGAGAAGCAACTCGAAGCCCTGTTGCTCACCGGATAAGCACAGCTCACTTCTCAGCCTGACCCACCCCACCAGCCCTGCATCTGCACACACTCCGCTCCCTGCGAGCACAGCCCAGTGATGCTGCGTGTGAAAGGGCATGTGGCACCAGCCACTTCCAAGAAGAGCTCAGGATGCTGCATTAAATAAGCCAACAATGTGCCAAGTGTACCTCAGGATGCATGGAGCTCTTCAAATGTCTATGCAGGGCCAGCATTTTGTTGAAACAGAACTGAACAAACAGCTTAAAAAGGAAGCTCTGCTAGAAGAACATTTATAAAGTCCTCTTACAGAATCCCGTCATCTCCAGTTAGTACGTAGGCAGAGGATTCAAATTCTGTAAAATGTTAATTTTGTTTAACTTATGCTGGTGAAATGAGATCTAGTTTCATCTCCCCTCATTCCTACGTGCTACAACTCCACGCGGGCTTGCTTTCCAGCCCAGCAAAGAGCGTTCAAGCATAGAAATCCCAAGATACCCTTTTCTTTCACCATAGCACTACCACAATCCTGCTAACCACGTACAGGACACTTACTCCAAAGTCTTCAGCCTTTTTAAACAAGGTACCAGAGGGAAAGAAGCAAGCAATGACTAAAGTGTTTGTAAAAGCATTTGTAGTGCAGATGCACGAATGAAGAACAGATCTTGGGAACGGGCTTTAGGCAGGACAAAGCCCCACGCGAGACACTGCGCACACAGAGCAAACGAGGCAGGCAGAGACAGGGCAGCTGCAGGAGCTGGTTCCCTTTCACGGGCCACCTGCAGTTCTCCATCCACAGCTTTGTCTCTCTCACTCCAGCCCTCCTAGCCCCAGGTCAAAGAACCAGACCAGGATGCAAAGAAAAAAAAAAAAATCCACCACCCTTAATTTAAGAAGTCATTTGTTTTTGTTTTTACTTTCTTCTCCCAATTTTAAGAACCTCAAATCTTGGTTTCAAAATGCTGAGTTACAAGGAAAAAGCTGCACACAGCAGTGCTTCTGTATGCCCTCCTGTTGAAAGGGATGCTCAGCTCTCCAGTGCTCTCGCTTTGAAGCTCAGAGACTCGAGAAGGAACAGATTTAAACACACTCCCCACTGGACTAGATATGCCATTTGAGCAGTTTCAATGCAAAAATCACATCACCTCTGTAATACACTCTGTAACTGGCAAAGACGCACAAAAGGAGTAGGCACAGCAATGATCCCAGTTTGACGTGTTTGACAGCACACAACTGCGTGCCGATTGCTCTCCTAAGAATTTGAAAACACCTCCTTCCACTGTACCCCTAAGAAAAAACACAGGCTAAGCCATAAAATCCACATTCCACCCCCAAATTTCTCTTTTAAGGTACATAAGCTAGCTTTCTTCTGCAGTTCCCCTGGATGAACTGGTAGAGAGCAACTCCCAGTTAGCACAACATGATGATAGTCAGAGAGCAGAGAGTCCCTGGATGCTGGGGCCCTTGGAACTCAACATCAGTGCTGAGAGAGAGGTAATTAGCACTGCTAACAAGAACAACGTTCACCCTTGACTTTGGCACTCTCCCTGCAACACATATTGTATGACTCCTTTGCACTGGCTAGAGCAGCGTGGGATGGTGCCTCTCTGTCGTGCCGGACAGCGGCATAAAGACCCCAGGCTGCATCGGCCCAGACCTCCTAGGGAGGAAGGAGGAACTCTACCACTGGTTTGTGTGCAACCTGAAACACGTCAAACAGCCAATGTATCAACAGGAGAAAGGATACAATTAAGGTCCACTATTATCCAGAGAAATCTTTGCTAGCCCTTCTCCCATGCAGGCAGAAAGAATGGCAAAGCATTTTTGTTAAAGCATTTTTGCTTTAACAGAGCAGAGGTCCGAGAAACTTCTCCTACAGCTCTTGAGAAAGATGAAATGGGGTGGGTTTCTTCAAGCAAGGCATCCTTCCCAGACACAGCTTTCCTCCCAATGACTGGTCCTACATATTTCCCTGAGAAGGGCATCCGAGGGGATCCGTATATTGATATGGATCACTTGCTGTTCTCCAAAGAAGTCCTTAAAAAGAATCACAGCTATTTCACAGCCTGTTCTAGGACTGTGGTTGCATATTTACTGAGCAGCCTACAGCTTTCACAATCAGTCCAGATGCTAGTTTCAAAACAACTTAAGCACCTAGAAAACCCACAAAACCAGTACTCCTTACTGCTTTTAAAACTAATTTTACACTCCTAGAATTGGCTCAAGCCCTCTGAGGCTAGACTTCGAAGCTGTACCCTGTCGCGGCAGCGAGCACACTCTCCACCACCAGCCCGGGTGACCTTTTAACGTGCCTCAGCTTTACCCCACGGGGCCCTGAAGGAAGGGCATGTTCACTTGTTGTGGCTGATCCGATCCACACCGCTGCTGGCTGAAGTAGCTCATGCACAAGTGGTGTGGACCCCAGTCCCACCCTCCCACCCATGCACTCCTCCCACCGTTGCCAGACCGTTTGCTGAGCCATTTCAGAGCGGTGACCCACCACAAGATCACGAAGTGAGGGCAAAACACTTGTTTGTATGCCAGAACTGCTTGGCAAAAGCTCGGGTAGCATAAGACAGGCTTCCCGGGGGGAAAAAGAGGAGGGAGGACTGAGCAGGCACATACAGCCAAAGCCGCTTTGGCCATGGCGAAGCTCCAAGCCCCACTACATCGCTTCGTTAGTGGGCATTAAGCGGCATTCAGGATTGCAACAGCAGTGCTCTTGCTCATATATTTTATTACTCTTGAGAAAATTCAATGCTCCTTTAAGGCAACACCCCTTCTCAGTCAATACTCTCAGCATTAATAAATCAGAGATAAATGAAACAACCATGATAGAGCCATATTTTTGCTAATGAGCAGAAAAGGCAGGGGCCTAGGAGCAGACTTAGCCAGCAGCTGCTGCAGGAGAGGCAGAGCCAGCACAGGACGCATTCTTGTGAGGATTAGTTCATGTTTATTTAACACTATATTCTCAAAGAGCTAGGCAAGCATTATGCATTATCCTGTAGCTGAAGCCAGCCTTAAAAAAAAAAAAAAAAAAAAAGAAAAATCCATTACTGTTTTGTTGAACAGGATAATTCCCCTCCTCTCAAATTCAGACAGCCATTTCCCAGCACTGGTTGTGTCTGCAGGGACTCTCTTCATCCGCTTTGCATTATGTGACCCAATCTGATGCTCTTGCACATTTAAAGTAAATTTAGGACACCCACCTGGCACTGTGTCCTGCCACAAGGTTTTAGGAGAGCAGAACTCTGCACCTTCCTCCCTGGCCAGGTGTTGCTGCTGCCGGAGGAGCTGCGGTCAGTGGCTGCTACGACCAAGAGAGAAGAAATCCCAGGCAAGTCAATTCTCTTCATACCCAGGTGACAGCCTCTGGCTCTTCACAGATATCTGGGCGAACACCCAAGACCGGGGTCCTGGCCCTCTGCACAGCCTGTGGCATGCTGCAATTAGCAGAGCCAGAGTCCTGAACAAAAGCCTCAGCTAGCACAGTGACGAGAGTATCACTTTTAGAGTCAACTTGGTTTTAGGGGACAAAAGATATGTTTGGAAGCATAAAGTAATAATAAAAAAAAAACATTATCAGTGTTGAATACAATCCTAGGACTCAATGGAAGTTAAAAAGGCCTTTAGGGTTTTAGAGGTAGCTCCACTCACCACTGCAACACCGACAACACCAAGCTCTGACCTTTGAGACCAAGCGGTGGTTGCAGTGAAGCAAGACGTAGGCTCCAGCCATGTGCAGTTAACTGAAGGAGGTCGACAGCCATTTTTGAAAACCCAAAGTGAAGTTATCTTATTTCTTTTAATATCTTTTTCTCAGGTGTCAGCCTTTGGTTCATGTGATGGCCGCGGTCTGGGAAGTGGCATGGTTAACATCACCCACTGCCCCTCCACCCAGCGGGGCACAGCGACCTCACCCTTTTGTCAAAATGGGAAACGCTCACTTACGATGATTATAAAATGAGCCAACGTCTTATGCTTATGAAGGGATCGTGCAGTTAAACATCTGAAAAGGCTCTGAGGACACCCCTTTCCAAAATACCGAAGTTAGCAGTGAGTAGAACTAGAAAGTGAGCATTTAATTCCCTTTCCTACCTAAAAACTGCAGATATTAACACACAACAAATTAATTTCAAAAAAACTACAGTAAAGTATAAAGGTTTTGAGCATCACTACTAGTCTTCTGCCTTGCCCTATTGAAACAAATCTAGCAAAACATTTTGGCCTTGGGTGTATTGGGTAGCTGCAGAGGAACCTGTCAAACTCTCATTACAAATATTTAGCAGTAATAGAAGTTGGATGAAAAGAAATAGCAAGTAAGTACATTACTAAATACGCCAACTTAGCATATAATTTTAAATTAAAGGACATTGTAAGGCCTAAACTTACTATTTAAAAATAATGTAATAAATAATTGGCATCAATAAGCTCTAGCTTTAATGAGCTAAAGAAAAGTATTTCACAATTCTGTCTAAAAGGCAGAGGAGCCTTTAGCTTCCAGCATCAGCCCAAGCGATGGTTGGGACTCCATGAATTATCAACGTTCACTCAGCACAATGAGCCGAGTACGGGTACTGACGTACTTCTACCACCAGTACTTCCAGGTCCTACCGTGCCAGAGCAGGTCTTGTTTTGAGTTTAGGTTAGCTACCTAAGTAAGCTACCTAGTGCAGGGACAGTTTCTTTACTTGAACTAGATGCTTCACAGCTAAGAAACCTCAACTCAGGCTTTTCTCAAGAGCAGGAAGTTTTCTTTCCCTCTTAGAGCTCTTGTATTTAAAAAAAAAAAAAAAAAAAAAAAAAAAAAAAA